CTTGCTGTATAAATCGGACGATGATGCAGCCTTCAAGGTCAGAGCTAGCTCCTTCAATCTACCAACCGACAATGTACGCATGCTCAGTGTCGTTGGAACGGAATGTGGTCGTATCTTTCTCGGCGGCGAGGATGGATGTTTGTACGAAATTGTTTATCAAAATGGCAATGCGGAAGGCAGGCACAGATCCGAGGAAGAGCTACTCGCTGCCTTTTACGATAAAGGCGAGGATATAGGCGAAACAATCTACTTGGACGGTGCATCGTCGATTACGGGAACGATCGTAACGCTTGGAAAACGATCACTAGGTTTTAATGGCTCTCGTGGATCGCAGCGACCACAAAAGTGTCGCAAACTAAACCGCTCATCATCGTCATGGGCAAGCGCAATTCTCCCTGACGTGCTCACACGAACAGCTGACTGGCTATTTGGAGGAAAAACTGCGACGGGAGGAGGACCAATCGTTAAAATTGTAGTCGATGAGTCGCGCCATACACTGTACACCTTGTCGCGCGATGGTTCTATATGTTCGTTTGCTCTTCGCAGCAAGGGGTCAGTGCAGCTTGCGGCAGTCATAAAGACACCTCAAAAGGTGACACAGTATTTGGAAGCGGTAGGACGCGGACAGATGAATCCGCCGATCGGAGGAAGCGCGGGTTATATAAGTTTCAATGGCAACGGACAAGCGGCGCAAGCTGGTGTCGGTGGAATGGAAGGGGCTCGAGCAATTCTCAAACAAGCTGAGCTGCAAGCGAATAAGAAAGCTCTTGTTCCAATCTCGATCCATGTGATATCTCCAACCGAAAGTCAACAATTGACTCTCTTGGCTGTTACAAAATCGGGTTTGCGTCTATATCTGTCGTCGATTTCGTCAAAGTTAACATTGTGTCACGTTCGAGCCGCACCACCGACTGATCAAAAGCCAGATTTAGCTTCTCTTGTTGACGACTCTGGGTTTGTGGGTGGTTTGAAGCCTCGCATCCAAGGATCTGACAAGGCTGGCAATGTGGACGCTTCGCTGTACAAGGACGGTGTATTCATGACAGCCAGAGAGAGCGGAGCATCGCAAGTGGGTGACGCTATCATTGCCGCGTATCCTGGCCCCACTTTCAGAAAGCTTGAAGTTATTGCGCAAGACGGCGACGACCAAGAAGAATTGTGGAGTGCACCCGGTGGGATTGTGGAGACAATTAGTCTGCCAATGCAAGCGAGTGGTTCTGGCCCCGTCGATAACCCTTCACTGCCAGGTGGGATTGTTGTTGATATGGCCCAAGTATCTTGCGATGATAGTGTGGCCATGAAGTTAGCCAAGAACTCTCTTACGCCTTCTGATAGTGAACTTGGTTCTGGCTTGCCGGCGGAGTATACGCTGCCGTCGAAGGCCCGTCCGCATCGGCCTCTTGGAACGCAATCCGACGAGACCATTACATCGATTGTGGTTCGTGATAGATCACTATCCGGTGGAATTGTTTCTTTGATGACAACTTTACTTCCAAATACAGTATTTGCTAACGCGGTTCGTAAAGGCGTCGCAGTTCCTGGACTTGACGCCGGTCGAGCGTATGCTGGCAAAGCCTCAGCGCCATCGTATCGCATTTCTGGTCGCGACGGGAAAGATGGCTTTAGCCTGACGGCAGCTGAGAAGATGCAGTACGTATCGCAAGCGACACCTATAAGAAGCAGAGGAAAGCAGATCACAACGAAGTCTGTCCGCTTACGCCAGTGGCTATTAAAGCCTCCGATGGTGCCTCTACACCAACTCGCAACTCAGCAATACTCTGCGGCGACAAAAGATGTCATAGCGCTGAACGCTGGGGGTCTGCACATTTTCAACTGCGAAACTGTTTTGTTGTCGCTGGCAGATGTCTTAAGCTCCGCTGGGGAGAATGTGAAATCTGACCCAAACATAACCGTTTTCTTCAAAAAATATGGGAATAAAGAAGGCTGTGCGATGTGTCTTTCGCTGGCTGCTGGCTGTGGCCCAGTATCTACGCAGTCTTTGCGACTCCGAGAACGCGCTTGGAAAGCTGCATTGGCTAATTCATTTAGCCCAAAGCTCGTGCTTAAAGAAAATGACGCCACCAACGGCGCTACAGGCTACTCATCGAATATAGTCGATTCAATTGTACCGAAGGGCTATAAATTTGTCCCTTCCAGACTTGCTGAAGGTTTGACGGCTTTAATATCACGCTTGTTGCGTCCCTTTTGGTTCAAGCCGGCCGTTGTGGTGACGGAAGGTCGGGTGGTCAAATCTGCATGGTCGCGAGATGTACATGTGACACCTCCAAAGGTCGAATTGCTCGTGTCTAGTGGAGGTTTAAAACAAATTCGAGAACGGCCGGCTGATTTGCTACAGGTCATGAAGAAGCTAAGTCATGCAGTTGCAACTGTGCCCGGTGTGAGTCAGGACCAGACGAGTATGGATTTTGAGTTGGAAGGCGATAATTTCATCACGAATGCAATTTCGTACCAACATCAGAGTCGTGCGTATATGAACGGATCAGATCATATCATAAGTGATGCTGAGTTGGAGCGATTGGCTCGCCTTATGGAAGAACGAAATATCCACTCGCTATACAGGCTGCTTTCTCGTGCTGTTCAAGTGCTGAATCTGCTGCTGCTCTTATACAAAGCAGAGGATATTACTGAGCTGAATGAAGTGGAATGGGGCCTTCTGCACGGTTTAACATTTTCACAGCTTGTAGAGACTCGGGATGGCCAAGACCGAGTAGAACGCTTGCTGAACTCGTTGATTACCGCATCTGCGGCGGATGGGTTTGGAAAAGTTGCGCCTTCCGTTCTCGTGGATCAGATTGCAAGCCAATTCTCTGAACAATGCTATAGTTATTTTACACCTGGATCACGCTCAGCTTTTCTCGGATTCCTTCGAGCGAATGAAGCCCTGGAGAATGCTGCTGGCTCGAGTCGGCGAGCGTTGTTGACTAATCAAGCGGGGAACCACTTTCGCGATGCTGCCAAGCACTGGGTGAATGCCTCATTAATTACTGGTCGCATACTGCATTCAAAAGGCCAGGAATCTTACAGCGAAGTTGCTTCGAGAGCGTTTCAGTGTCAGAGTCCCCTTGCCAGGGCGTCTGATTTGTTGATTCGCTTAGGCGATATTGCCACCGCCGTTGACATTTGCTTAGTCACGGCGTTGAACTTCCAGAAGAATGATTCGTCAACAGCAAAATCAACGTGGTCGGCTGTAGAAAAATCGTCAACCAATGTCGCTTATCCGTGGGAGCTTCAGCTGTACAGAAAGCAATTTGATGCGGAGTCCGGCAACGGGAATCCAACTAGCGCTTCGAGTCGAAGCGTGGCTGGCGGAATTTCAGTTACGGCAGGTGATGCGGTCGACACTTGCTTTTCCTTGGTATTCTATTATTTCGCGGCCTTGATGGATTCTGACCCAGCTAAAGCATATACATTGGCTTCAGCCTGTACTGCAGCAACTGATCGCGCTTTTCTTCATCGCTTCTTCTCGTTTTTGAAAGAGAATGGGTATGTTGAAACACTTCTTATGATTGATACTCCGGTCGTAGAAGAATGGATTAAGGAGACCGGTGAATTAGAGCTGTTGTGGCGCTACTACGATGCCCAGAATCGGTCACTGGATGCAGGTGAGGTTTCCCTTTCGCGAGCGAGAAATAGTAAGTCTCCAGTCCCCTTGGACGATCGCATTGAGTTTCTTTCGCGTGCTGTCAATGCATTCAGATTAAACCTTGAAAGAAGCGAGAGTAAGGCATCATTTGCCTTGGACGATGGGACGCAAAAAGCGATAACACTTGACCGTGAGCGTTTGAATTTTGCTCGCGAGACGTTATGTATTGCCCGCATACAGAAGCGTGTGCTTCACGCTATAGACTCGCGTCGGCAAGCAGGCATGAAAATCGATTGTGACAGCAATATGCATGATAGGGTGACTTCTGAGCTCGTTGACGCTTCCGACCTTTACAATGAGTATACGACGCGCTTGTACCTCTTCGATTTTTCATTGTTGATTCTACATGCCTGCAAACATGATGATCCGGCTGAAATTCAACGCCTCTGGATCAACTTGATTGCAGAAGAGTTTTTACCATGTGCTACTCGGGATATAGAGGTACATTCTCGCTTGGAGAGCTTACTCAGTAATATAGGGCAGGCAGATGATGTTCAGCTTCTCGGGCCAAACGAATCAACCAATTCACTCAGATTGTTTGAGGATGGTGATTGGTCGACACATGTCGAGACAAGAATTATTGGTCTAGGCGAGGAATTGTATGGCACAGGAGCGGACTTTGTATTCCCCGTAAATTATCTGTTGGACGTGTTGGAAGGTACGTCTAGGTTTAGTTGTTTTACTAACGCTCGGTCAGCGCACATCTAAAATCTTTACGTTTCAGCGCTTCGTGAAGCGGCGAAACACAGCCTTGATGTTTCGTGGTCGCTTGCCACTCTTGCGAGAGCAGGAGTGCCTTTTCTGACTCTATTGGACGTTTACGAATTGTACTGCCAAAAGGTGAGCTTCCAATCGATGCCCAGCGGTGACCAAGCGAAGTTCGTCGAGCAGCTGCACATCTTTGTAAACTTGTTGGAGATGTGGGTTGACACTGCACGACAAGGCATGGTAGGAGGGTCAAATCTGCAGCTCGCCCGTGAAGAACTGTCTCGAGCGGTTGCTACTGGTCGCTTACGACCACGAATGGAGCAGCTCCGAGCGGCCGTGAGAAGCGCCCCTGATGCAGACTTCCTTCTGCAGCGGCTCGATTTGATAGAGTCATCGATCCAATATTTATAAACTAAGTTATGCAATCTATTTTCGCAACTACTGGCGATACTTGCAGATTGCGACAGCCTACTACTTTAACGAACGATAATTAATCATAGTGAAAATTGATTGAATCGAAGTGATGAGGTAACCATCGGTCCAAGTCTTCAGACCTTCAATAATAGCCACTGATTAAATACGTACTTGTCGCATTGTGACACACTATGGTTTTCATTGGTACAAACCAGATGTTGTGGCCGAGTGGTTAAGGCGTCAGATTTAGGCTCTGATGATTCCGATCTCGCGAGTTCGAATCTCGTCAACATCATAAACTTTTTGCTGGTTACTTGGTTACTTTGACGTAGCAATTCATTTTGGCTGCTCGTAGCACAGTTTGGTGTAAAGGTTGCTGACATTATGCATGTTCTATCGACAGAACGGGAGATTTACCGATAGCAGTACAGACTCAGATACTGGTAGAGCAATGGCAAGGTGCTACGGTGGCGGTATACCTGTATTTAGCGCTGCCAGTGTCTCATGCATCAAGTATTAGTTTATTAAAGTTACAATCGCTCCACAGTTTAAAGTTGCATCGGCGTGGGTGGAAGGGTTGGCGGCTCAAATGTAGTGGAACTTTCAAGAGCGAGACCAGAATACATGTCTTGATCATCAAAGTTGCTGTAATTGTGCCGCATACGACGGTACTGAACAAAGTTAAATCCGTCGGAGCGGCGCTTATAAATGTGAAACGCGCCATACGCAAGCCCCGCCACCACGAGAAGTCTCCAAAGCCAACCGAATACCCCTTTCCTCTTACGTGTTCCCTCGGAAGAAGACTTACTGTCAGTGGAATCGCGCGGTATGTATGGCTTCGGAGTTGGTTTGTTGTCCGAAGGCGCCGGAGCAGGTTGTGAATCGCCTCCACTGGGTGCCGGAGCTGGAGCTGGGCCAGGGTATGGCTTCGGTTTGTAACCGCTGTCGGGATTAAAGTCGTCAACGCAATCTTGTGCAAATAGATTGTAAAAATCCCAGCTCTCGCCAGCAAGTTCGCTGCCGCAGTCTAGTCGTCGAAACGAGGGAAACGGACCTGCACCGCCACATCCTTCATGCACATAATCACACTGGCCGCCTCGTGAAAAATCAATCCGGCCAAACTCGCTCTCCAGATTACTCTTGCACGGACTGTAAAACTCTTTCCACGCGTCGCAATCAATCTCATCAAGAGACTGGCATGCATCAAGAGTCTCGTAGAGAAGCGTTTTGAAGTGGACAAACGACGAGCAAAGGGGACAGTCACCGGATGCCTTTTTTGCACAGTCGCAGAAGCTCTCAGCGTCTTCGTAGAGAAGTCGAGCAAGTGCAGCGATTGCTTGCTTCGGTGCACCAGATGAGTCATCATCGTCGCCCGCCCCGTTCTTAGCGTCCACGAGAATTTGCATACATGCTAGGGCCGTCTTGCTGCCAGATCGTCCTTGTGAGGCAAAGGCATGCGAGCAAGATTCGAACCTGTCCAGGTCTCCAAAATTGTTTTGATCAAAATCGGTTACCATCATGGAAATTTGGTCAATATTGCTGCATGTATTGAATGCCATAACGGCCGCTCCACCCTTCAACGTTTCCGTCGGTGAACAATCCGGCAAAGAACTGGACTTCTTATCTTGTTGACCCGGGGACGGATAAGTCTTGCCTGGCGAGAGCTTGGAGGCGCAATAAGAAGAATCTTCTCCTTTTGAAGTACACTTGCACAATGAACAGTCCACGAGCGCATTAAAGGCATCGTTGGCGAAGCAGTAGTCTTCAGTCTCTCCTTCTTGATTAAAGCAACCTTTGCATACATCATTTCGGTCACACACTCCCTGCTGAATCATGCATTTGTCTTCAATGCAGTGAAACAAGTCTTTCATTTCCTTGTAGTCCGGATCGTCGGACGGCTTTAGGTTTGGCTTTCCTTCACTGTCGATGATGTGCAAATTGCGATGAGTGAATCAGTTTAATATGGGCTGCAATTGACTAATGAGCAACGTCTGATCTTACCATGTCAATTGACAATCACGTCCAGTGTATCCAGCCACAGGAAACCGACAATCCATTGGCGCGCCTCCACCGGCAATCGCCGGACTGTCCATTCTCGGTCGAACTTCCCACGAAACTTCATTTCCCCATGTGCCTCCGTTGACCTTGACTTGATAACAGCTCGGGTTCTTGCTGAGGCAAACCCAGTGCGTCCCCTGAGATCCGGATTTAAGACTTCCAGTATATATAGGGTCCTTCTCATCGACGTTATACAGCGAAAGCTTTGTCGCATCCCAGCCATCACCAAAAGAGTCATACATGATGAGTCGGTACGGCGTCTCTTCCGACGAGCACTCCATGTTCGTCGCGTCATCGCTCAAGGTGTCATCGTTTACGACAATCGCCGAGTTACAATCGGTCGAGTACCACGAGTTGCAATTCTTTGACTCGGGATCGCGACAAAAGTATCCATCGTGCCCACACTCCAAGTAGTTGCTTTCCCGCTCGCATGTATCCTCGCAGCAATCTCCACCATCCCAACCGCAAACTTCGGTATTGTAACAACCATATATACCATCGTTACAAATACCATTACCGATAAAGGATGGATGAAAGCCTTCCCACTCGCACTTTGTCAGTTTGCTGCAATCTACATATGGCTGAACGTCGTCGTCGCTGCCGCGTTGCGAATTGCTTTCATCATCACCATTCTTATAATTATCATCGTCATCCCAATTAACGCAAGAATCAAACGTTTGGCAAAACTGTTCCATGGAAGCGGTACTCTTCTTGACGTTCATGCAAAGCTGGTTATTGTTCAAAAAGGAAACAACGTCCGTACAAGGCGTGTCCTGCGTCACGGACGCCCAGTCAATGTCGCGTGTCTGCAACTGCAGAAAGCAATCGACGCATTGACTAACTTCCAAGCAGTTCATAAAGGCAGCGTCGCATGTTAACGTGTCACTGGTGGATTCCAAAAAGCGGAGGTGAAGATTGTTGTTGTTGTTGCTGCTCCGTTGATACGTTTGAGGTAGTTTCAGTTGGAGGAGGCGGTTGGATTGTGGCATTGGCTCTTCGGCAACGAGATCAATGAGCTTGCTAGCTTCAAGCGTGCTGTGTAAAACAAGTTTATTTTTTATGTAAGTTGATGAATTGAGAGTCGAACGTCGAATCATGTTCATTCCATGCTGCAACGGATAGCGAGACGTACCGCTTCGCAAGCACTTTGGCCGCCACATTTTCAGTAACCGCGGATGCCAATGTCGCAAAAGCGACTAGTGATAGAAACTGTTTCATTAGCTTCATAGAGCGTCTATAGCCAAGCTTGCGATTTGACAGTTGGAATGGACTTTTTTGTTGACGGCGTTGCGGTTTCGTTCCGTCTCGCACTTCTTGGGGGTCGACGCGTTTCTCGGACCGCGACCCCCGCCGTCCCGATTTCAGCTATTGCTGCAGAAACAAGTCGCCAGACTGAATGTGAGTGTGATATGGAATTATTATACATGTTACAAACATGACTGTACTATGTATGAATAGTCATAAAGCTGTAACAGTCGTTATTTAAGGTGCAATTATCGATGTATTGCCTCATCTCATGATTAAAGCGTTTAAGATGCATTCTGTTATCTGTTAAGTCACGCAATACACTCTTCATCTAACTCGCTTCCACCTCCATGACATCAACATCTGCCAAGGTGGGATGCGGAGAGTAGGACGAGTGAAGAATGGGAGTGACTCCGTTGGCAAGTGTCATTCGTCCAGATCGCTGCACCATGGCGCGGAGCGGTCCAATCTCATTGGGTTTGACTTCGTTACGGCGGTAGTCAACCGTTCCATCCGTTCGAATAATGCACAAGTCAATGTTGCTACCCGATCCCAAGTCGTTAAAGACTCCAGCGCTGACTGCGCGCTTGACCATGGCAATGCCTTCATCCTCCGTCAATCCATCGCGCCAACTCGTCTCGAAAACACTCATGGCTGCCACCGAACCTGATCCCATGGTCGCATACGACAGCTTGCTGGTACTTCCATGCGGATAAATATGGTAAACGTGCGGTCCCTGTATATCCACGCCTCCCAAAATGAGCGCCGCGCTAACATGTCCCTGGTAGCGAAAGAGCATGCGCTTCAATAGCGTCAGCGCCGTCACGACACGACTCGGCAAGTGCGTATCCAAGCGCAGCAACGCCAATTGACTGGAAATCAGTTCCGTCGTCTTGTCGGTATCCGCCGCCGTTCCAGCGCCGGCGCAGTACATGTTGGGCGCCAAGTAGTGAATCTTTTGGCAATTCTTTTCGGCAACTTCCTCACCCGACGTGGCTCGCGTATCGGCGCCGAGAATGACGCCGCCGGCAAATACCATGCCGACAATGGTTGTTCCAGTCTTTTTGGCTTGGGCGAGACGGACAGTGGATGACTTGTTTGAGGCAGCGTTGGCGGCGGAGACAAGGTTTGCGTTGCGATGCGTGTTGGCGAAGGAGAATCCGGATGGAACCGTTGAGCTGAAAATGTTTTGCGTTTGTTCAGACATGATTAAAGATAAGATAGTATACTGATGAAGCGATCGAGACGAATATTGCAGGGACGATGATGGAAATGCGGTAGTTGCTGGCTGCAGTCCTCATTGTGGATGAAGGCCAAGGATGGTCAAAGATCGTCGTGCAGCAGACATGAAAAGTGACATTAAGTCGTAACGGTACTCGTTGGAGTGCCATTCGTCCCTCCTCTTTCGCATGGGTGCGCTTCGCTCATCGCCATTGCGTAAGTTACACGGACAAGAGCAGTTATCCGGAATAACCGTTTGATCCTTTACAACATTCTAACCAATAATTCCGAAGCATACTACAATGAACGATGCAATCGACGACCACAGCGCCGAAGAGGACTACGATCGCCATCACGGAACAAATACAAAGCATGTCAACAAACGACAGCGCGGCTGGCAGGGTGAACATTTGGAACTAGAGCATGCGGCTGCCGCCAGACAGGATGATGCAGGCGACCAAAAAGACTCAGTGGTGGCTGTAGACTTGAATCAGTTTCGAAATACAGTCGTTGGACAAGGATATCAAGCCAAGCATGTAATTCGACAAAAGGGATCAACGCAAGCGTCTCGTGCATCGATTGTCAAGTTGAACTACGAGAGAGATGAATCTAATAACAAGAAAAGAAAGTCGCATCGTCAAGATGCAGAGCCTTTCAGCCAAGGTCCAGCAAAGTTTAAACTGCAAACGTATCTCGAGTGCCCGGGTTTGCGAAAGTTTAGGAAGGAGCTTGCCAAGATTGAAGCCTCGCATTGATTATTTTACAGCAATA